TATAGCGTTTAATTTGTGAGGGGGTATGGGCGGTATGGGGCATGAGGAGGAGTAGGAGCCTTCTTGTAATGGGGCACAAAGCCTGTCGGAGGGGAGACAATAGAAAATCGCAATCGTGAGGCGTAGCCGAACAATACAGGTTCACTAATGCTGATGATGGATGCACTTTATTATGAATAAAGAGTGATTGTGCTTTACATACCTACTACGATAGCCTGGGCACTGTAATAACTAGCTGCCCTTTGTCCGTGAGCTCCTAGTCGCAATGCTATCCGAAAGAAACGCTTGATGTGATACTGCGCCGCATGACACAGTCAGACTGACAATATCGTCGCTAGATGTCGCTAGCGGTATACGCCTGTAAGTATGCTGTACCGCATGACCAGGGCAGTAGTTGAAGACACATTGGACGCTCTAGAAGGACCTGGAACGGATCAGGAAACACTAACCTGACATCCGACGTGTGTCACACCGTTCCGTGCTTCTATCCTCAGGATACTGAAATCCTTCTCCTCCACGCCGCAACCCCCCTCCGGGCTGGACAGGCAACTTTATCTCATGCGGGCTGCTCCCTTGGAGCGGCACCGCTGCTCCCGAGGTAGCGCACCCCGTAGCCGGGTGCAGTGAGTACCTTGGGGCTGGCCGGCCTGTCCTTCGGGATGGGCTTAGCCCCGGTGACTCACTAGGGTGCCTGCCCAGACCAATGTCTCCCCCTAATTCCTATCATCCTTCCGGCTCTGAAATGGTCTAATTGGACCGAAAGGGCCTGACCCAACAAAACAAAACAAAAACGACGTGTGTCAACAATGTTGAGTCATAAGCACGACAAATTTGCATACCTTTTATCGAAGTGCAGCGCTGATAGAAAAGTGTGGTGAAAGTGTTTCGCTACTAACCGTTGCTGAGCTGCCCAGGCGGCCAATGGCAGTCGTTATTAACCCGTGATTCTCTCAGAGACTGGCGATGTGGCGTTTTGAAAAGCTTTTAATATGCACGTCTTGCACAAAATGCATGAGAGGAATAAATTTGTTACCTTGCAGTGTGACAGAATGATCGCTTTCAAAGGAGATGAATTGTTCAACAATAATAACGATTACGAGTCGTCTTGATGTTTCTTATTTTCACATCTCGTAACGCAATCTCTGAAACCATTCTCGTCTGACGTCACCCTCTGTGTCGTTGCAGCCGGCTCTCTAAGCCACATGAGAGAGCACCGCACCACTCACGGACGTCCTGAGCTGGGCACGGGCGATCGCAGCCACCCGGCGGCCACTGCCGGATTCAGAAGTATCTCTCTCACTCCCGAGATGGCAGCACGGACACACCGACTGGTCCGCCCCGCCGACCGCATCGGCAGCTCGCCGCTCGCCGAGAGAAACCGGGATCTGAACGACATACAGCTCACTGTCAAGTGAAATGCTTCTCACGCTCGAGTGAGCACTTTCCATGGGAGGGCTTGGAGCGCGCTCGGTCGTATCGTCATCACTCAGCCGCCTGTCGTCGAGATGAGCGCCCACGAGTGACGGTGACACCGCCGCCGGCGACCCAAGACGGCCGACAGGGCAACTTCCCACCACTTCCTGACTAATAGCAGCAGGCGTGTCAAACTGCGTCATGCTGCTGCTGATGCATAGGAGCTGGACACGCAATTGCATCCACCGCCAGCGCATAACACCGACTTTACGACACCATAAGAGTCGCATCTTACCGTACCAGAGAAAAAGAATCCTTAGCAGTTATCAGAGTATGTCATGCAGCCGCACTGCAAAGAGGATCGGGCGCCAAAGGCAATGGGTGACGCCGATTGCATTAATTTCCTAACTTTTGTATGCTACTCGGTCATCGGTTATTTGTAAGATGTATCGGCGAACTTGCATCGTTCAACATGGCTTACCTACCACATGAATTATGTTTGAAAATCATCTATCAGTCTGCTATTGATATTGCTTGATAGACACGAACATACCCTACCAATACATTTTACACCTTGTATGTATAAAATGGTTTTCAGTTTAGTCAGTAACTCGTTTCTGAATGCTGAACTACATGAAGCATTACACATGCATTGTATCGCGTCGAAGTGATGCAACCGTAAAATAATGCGTCGCACGGACTGGCAATACGTCGAAAGCTTGCTTTTGACAAGGATCGGTGATGTTTTGTACCATAAAGAAGTGTAACTGAACTTTATAGGATCGTTGGTTCGATCATTTTCTTTCCACTGATGTATTAAGTGACGCTTTTGTGTTTTGTTCATCCATATTTATTTATTGTTTGATGGATATGTTTGCAGTTTGACCATTGAAGAAAGTTATGCTTGAAAATGGACAGATGCAGTATCTCTAGATTTGCTTACAATTGGAGAAAATGGACAGCTATTTTGCATCACTTTTTATTCTTAGACAGCACGAAATATTAAGCTAAACATGTTTCAAATGTACACACATTGTAAATAGCGCAATTAAAATGAATGCTGATGCTCGGAGACACCTGTCATAGACGTCATTAAGATGCGACTGAATTGATCGAAATGTCTGCGAGACTGGAAACAAACAAACATAGCGCAACCCCATATGTAATTGTACTTAAATGGACGAGTGTTCATATGTGAACTGGTGTGCGTTGTATCTTTTTATTGGAATGGGGCCTACTGTGTGTTTTATTTGGGTATTTTTTAGTCAGCAAACGATATTCAACATAAAATCATAACTTTACATTTAAAAGGAAATTCCTGCATTCAAAAATAGATGCATTGTCTTATGGTAATAATTGCATAAAAATAATTATCACGGAAGCAAAGGAAATTCGTTTTTTAATAGGAATAGTTAACTGCCTTGAGATAAACGAGTCTGACTCATAATAGTTAACCCACGCCCTGATGGGGGCCATTTTGGCCCCCTGTGGTTTTTCTTAAATAACGAGGAAAACGGCGACGCTGCGCCGCCAAATTTTCAGTACCTTTCCGGGCATCAATTTGACACCTTCACAATTTTCAAGTCACAGGTCACCTTGGGTCAGGAGTTATTGAGGTCGAACTGAGGTCATGTTCGAGTAAAAATGAGCAAAAAACATGACATCTTGAAACGCTCACCAATACAGTTAAAAAACAATTTTAAAGTTACTACTAAGGTACTTATTAATTATTATTGTAATTAATGGCACTGGGCGTTTCCAGATTCAAGATTGTCCAATGAAAAAGCCAGAAAATCCTTAATAATAAAAGCTGGAGCATATGTATAAATTATTTACTTCGTTTTTATTTTACACTACGTCAAAATACTTGTGATATCTGCCATTTGCGCATACATATCAAAATATTGCTACACTTGTTGCGTTGATGATGGCATTAGATATGCAGGCTGCGATCTTTGTTTGGTTGCCAGCACGCACATCATATATAGCTGTTTGAAAACTAAAAGAAATATTGCGTGTTCTCTTGATACGGGATTGCTTTGCAGCAAGTGACTGAATTACAATGTGTAGGCACTTTTAGCCTTTATACGGCCATGAACAGGACGACACAACAGTTTGTAACAAGTACCCCTGAAAACACAATCGGAATCAACTGTATATTTACAAATTTGAGTGTGCTACTGTGTTAGCCACTGGCTTGCCGGCATTATGATAAAAGATTCGCAGTTGTGAGTTAATGGCGTCTGAAGCACGTGTCTACATAAAAAGACTATGTAAGCTTGTTTTGTCGTCATTATGTTGACCAAACACTTTGGGAATCACTTTTGTTCACACTACGTAAACACGTCATGTTATGTCACGTAACGTCACTAAATTCACACGGAGTTGCCGGATAATGAGCGGCCTCCATAAAAAGGTGTTGCAAAATTGTGATAAAAGAATTTCAAAAGCGTATATTTGTACTTGCATATCCAGAGACGCACTGTTTTATATGTTGTAATATATGTTTGCATGTTTGAAGTTGGTGTTTTTTTTTTTGGAACCATGGTCTGAAGCGAATGTAGCTGTCTGTTTTCTTGGGCGACACTATTGATGCTTAGCGAATCGAGTAATTTACGAATGAAGTTTGTACAACGAATAATAGTGTTTCGCTCATTATTAGATCAAAATTATTCACAGAGCAGCGCATTGTGTGATTTTAGGAAAAGACAATATCACGATATCATGTAAGAATCGACTCAGATTGAGAGTAGGTAAAAGGTAAGCAGTGTTTTATCAAATGGATTTGGTGGGATAGCAAAAATTGTCAGTACGCACAATTTTCTTTTGTTTAGATGCCATTAGTGAACACAAATAGTTCGATTTTTTATTTTTATTTTATCGTAATTAGAATCTTTAGCTCTCAAACTCATTTTGACAAGGGTTACAAGTATTTTACGCCCCACCCCACCTTCAAATTTATGAGCTTAAAGTCGATTTGTAAAAAGTCAAAATTCGTATTTCGATGGCTTCTGGTGACTTGACCTTTGGTCTGACCAAAGCCTAATCAAAATACTGCTAATCATTCCTGCCGACCTTGCAAAATTTGTCTTTCCTTTCTCGTTTCGTGGCCTCGGGGGCCAAGCTGCGGGGTGAATACACTATTTCCTGACTCGAAATACTGCATTTACGAGTCGGGGCCACGACCACAACGTGTGAAAAGGCAACGCTAGTCGCCGAGTTGAGTAGATGTTGTTGGTTCCAGTTCCAGTTTGCGTCTGGCCTGGCCTGCCGCCAGAGGCATTTTCGGCCGTGTTGGCGTATTTCGGGGTTGGTGGCTGGTTTTCGGTTGGTGCTCAGCTTCTTGCTCTTGGAATGCTGCCCGCAACTAAATCTACACGAACAACGGGACGTTTTTTTTTCCTTTCCTTCTTTTTTCTCTTTTTTTGATGGGCTTTATCTTTTAATTTTTTTTTGCCATTTTCTTTTGCCTCTTTTGTTATTGTACACTTTATGAACACAGCACATTGCGATTTTTTTGTTAAGTGAGCCTTTAATTTTTTGGGGTGTTAATACGTCTATCGTTCAACCATTTAAAACGTTCTAGCATTGGTCCAACACGTGACGTCATATGTATTCAACAACATGCGGGTACATGATCAACAATAGCGCGGCGCTGGGTGGTGCGGCCGGCACTGGTGGGGCGGTGGGATAACGGTCCCCTGCGCGCCCCGGTCAGCCGGCGCCCCTCGGCAGAGGGGACAGAGCGGGGTCAGCCAGGGGCAGAGCCACCGGAACTCCGACCCCGCCACGGCCGGCTGATGAAAAGACTAGTGGGCTTGGTTCTGCAACAAAACGAATGCACTGCACGTCAACATTTTATAATCAAGCTTCATAAAAATGATAAAATCGGAAACGTTTAGGCGTGAGATAAGAACAACGGGACTACACCCAACTAATCACGCAAATTCAAGTGATTTCCATTCGTCGAATGATTCTTGCCCGCTTAATACTTTTCGTACCAAATCCCTCAAAACTAGCCCATTTGACCGTCAGCTGTTATGAACGTTCCTCCTGTTCCTGAGCATCCCGTTCGATCATTGACGCTACACTGACCTCTGCGACAGCGAGCGGGCTCCGTCGCTGCTGCAGAGTCTCTCCGACCGGCTCAGTGGTACTTGGGCTTGTCGTCCTCCGGCTGCTGGACGTAGTAGCCGAACGGGGCAAAGTATTCCTGGTGGTAGCCATCTCCGACCTTGTGCTGGTTGGGGCCGCGGTACGCCTGAGGGCAAGCGGGGTTAGAGGTGCCAGTCACAGAGGCAGGTCACCGAAATGGAACAGGGATTGGATTACCAGCTACATTCGATAGCAGTGAATGGAAATGTTTAAATTTTATTGTATTGCCAGTAGGATAAGAGGTCATTAATATTTCTCAATTATTTCTGAATAAAATCAAAAACGTGTATGATACACAGCTAGGTGATGGTAAAGCGATTTGTCTTTTTAGTTCAGCTTCTTTAGCTTCTGTTCATCACATGCAAAATAATTTATCTCAGCCCTTTCATTATGTTCCACACCAAAAAGGAGACATGCTCACCTGGATCTTGACCCTGCCCTCCTTGGGCTTTCCGTACCCCTGGGGTACGGCAGCAGCCACGGCCAGCAGACAGGCCACGGCCACAGCCAGCAGGATCAGCTGTCGGACAGAGGTCAGGTCAACGAGGTCACGGTCAGGACGCGACGGGTCATCTTGTATGGACGAAATGTCAGGTTTTGTCACCGATACCACAACTCATGCCATCAAGGCTGGAAGATTAGATTAATTATCGGTCCCATTTTGATTGAGACTTTCACATTTATTCTGAATGTAATTTTCAGGTGACTAAAGACAAACACGAGAGCAAAAGCGCAGTTACTGGACTGTCAAAAGGCCAGTGGAATATGCGTGTCTTCCAGTGTCCTGATGGCAAATTGAATATTTTTCATGATCGAGACCAGAAAACATTCGACCTATTGAGAGATCTTCAAGTTAATCACTTCCGGTGGGTGTAGAGTAAAAGTATCCTCATTCCACAGTTATCACTTTCGCAGCTTGTGGCATAACCACCACCATAAGAAAATACAGTCACTGATATAAAGTGCCTGGCACTCCCCGAAAGCTTCTAACCGATCACCACTCTTTCGTTCAGACACTCCCTCGTAACCAACTCTCGCCCAACAGCACTCTGCCACTCTCGAGGAGCCGCGCCCAACTCACGGCTCCGGAGAAACGCATTGCGACTGGATGGCCTATGAAGCAGACACTGCGGCTTGCCTCGCCCCGAACTGCTTTTATACCGGGCCCCAGTCGAGATCGAGAGTAACCGAGCCATGGCCGAGCAGCGAGGAGCCGACGACGAGCCGAGCCGCTTTCTTCTCAGCTCTGCTCAGAGAGTGGATAGCTAATCAACTGATAAACAAAGTTGGGGTGAAGGAAACTGACTTGGTTGCTTATAGCTCTGTCTAATCATCGTGAAAGTTATGAAGTAAATACCAGCAGCGCACTGCAATATCCAGCGAAACCCGCAAAATGTAGTGCCTGCAGTGACCTTATAGAGTATACTTACCTGCATAAACATTAGACAATGCATACATCCAAACTTACATAACTACATACATATGTATTATGTAGTTAGCTATGGGCTGCTCCAAAATCAAGACCTAGAAGAGATGAGGAAGGACGTTGGCCGAAAATAACTACACGATACTAGCCGTCTTCACGACGGCTATCTGGTACACATTTGGTACACATTAGGTCAGCTTTGGTGCAGATTTGGTCAAATTAGGTTAAGTGCGTTTCTTCGTAGCTATTAGCTATAGGGTTGCGCTAATTGTTCATATGCCTTTTTGTCATACTATCAGAAATTATTATCGACTAAAACACTGAAATGAATTCATAATTTAACCCACGTCGTGCTGGGGGGGGGGGGCGTTTTTACGCCCCCTTCAGGTTTTTTGCGAAGTTTTTGGAACATTTGTTTAGACATCAGTTCCGTACATGTAAAAATTTCAGACCTACGTCGTTGAAGGTCAGGTCACCAGATCAGGTCAAGTGATCTTACCTCAGAAAAAGTTCAAAGGCTCGCTTTAGCTACACCGACTGAACGATCACTTTGAATCTTTCAGCGATTGGTACGAGTAACAGTATGTATGAAATGTTTATCTCGGATTTTTTATATCTGTGAGTTGTGACCTTAGGTCAGCTCAGTTTTGCGACATCTCCATTATAAGTCAGTGGGAGAAAATTGAAATGCTCCTCTTTTGGACGAATGTCTTTCAAAACACTCTCAAACATCGGTTCATAGGTAAACATGACAACACTGAATCGGAAAAATGCACCTGTGACCTTTCTGTGTGCCCCTGAGGCCTGAGGTCATCTCAGGTCATGAACGGTCACCAGTAGTTTTTTATATAACTTTTGATAGAGGCGTGCTAGAGCGGTGAAAACACGTCAGATGTGTTCAGCTTGACTATACGGATCGACTGATATGCAACATGACCCTTTCCGGTCAGCTCATGACCTTGACCTGAGGTCAGATTTTCAAAAAACCTTTCAAGGTCTATAAATAATTCATTCGACGCGTCTCGACGAAAGGAACACGATGCTGCCAAAAGTAATGTCGTGGCTCTCTTGAGTCAAAAGTTATTGCCGAAAAACTGTTTTCGTGAAAATGTTTTTTTACAGTTTTTGCCTTTTGGAGGCTAAACCGTTGACCTGAGGTCAAATCTGAGAACAAAGTCCAGAAAGGTCCGTAATGGGCTATCAAATGCGCTTTTCCTCGGCGCTGTAGCTCTATTGGTTCCCGAGTTAGCCGTTGGCAGTTTCCAAAATTATTGAAATGGACTAAGTTTGACCTTTGATGACCTCTTGTGACCTGACCTTTCTTTGACCTGACCTAGAAAATGACCGAAGTGTTTCCGTCATTATTTTTGACGCTCTTCTAATTGCCGCTTACCGTGTGTCGCTACGTGGCCCAGGAGCCTAGTTAAGAGGGGGCGTGAAAACGTCCCCCCTACCAGCACGACACGGAAAACACAGGCCACCAGCACGGCGTGGGATAAAGATATTTGCTGCAAAAGAGACTTAGTACAGATTTTGTCAAATGAGGTGCATTTGCCAGATAGCCCATCGTGAAAACGGCTAGGTACTTATAAACAATTATTATTTAATGTTGGCCAGACACCAATGCGGAAGTGGAAACGACAAAATGAGTATTATTGGTATTTATCATCGCTCGATGCAAATTGTTTTCGTCTCCGTTCCAATCTCCATCTCTGTCTAGAGCTGCTCACCACCCTCCGTCTCCGTCTAGTGTCATTCTCTACCCTCCGTCTCCGTCTCCGTTTCCGTCTCCGTTTATAGTGTCACTCACTACCCTGACCCTCCGTCTCCTTCTAGTGTCACTCACTACCCTGACACTCCTTCTCCGTCTCCGTTACACCCTTATTCAGTCTCCGTCTCCGTCTCCGTCTCCGTCTCCGTCTCCGTCTCCGTCTCCGTCTCCGTCTCCGTCTCCGTCTCCGTTTCCGTCTCCGTCCCATGCCCTCTGTGGCCGGCGGGCGCTTTCTCGCCGTATCTCAGCGTCACCACCGGCGCCACACATCGTTACAGATGGCGACGCGTGCCCGCCGCAGGGGTGACCCGCAGTTTTTGTGTGCGCCGGAGCAGCGGGCCGGGTCATCGGTGGGCGGCGACCCGCCGGGTGCGCCTCGTACCACGGGGCACTTTCTCGACCGGCGCCCAGACGCTGTGGGCCTGATATGACCCGGCAGTTACTGTGGGAAAGCAGTGTTATGATCGTTGCTAGCTGTGGGACCATGCAGGCGTTATGTTCGCCGGCTGTGAGACAACGGTGTCATGACCGCCGCTGGCTTGGACCACGGTGCCATTGCCGCTGGATGGGGCAGGACGGTGTCGGCTGTAAGATTCGGTGTCATGACCGCCACACTGCACCATGAGCCCACGGTGTTATGACTACTACTGACTGTGGCACGATGGTGTCATGATTGACCGCCACACTGTGAGTCCACAGTGTCATGACCGCCACACTGCGAGTCCACGGTGCCATGACTACTGCTGACTTTGGCACGACAGTGTCATGATTGACCTGTGAGTCCACAGTGTCATGACCGCCACACTGCGAGTCCACGGTGTTAGTTAGACTGTGACAGGACGCTGTCATGACTTCATGAGTATGACCACTGGCTGTGGCGGAATGGTGCGATGACCGCCGGTTGGCAGGCGGTGCGGCGGTTTTCCATCCGCACAAACGAATATGAGAATTTGGAGTCATTATGGTGCTCATAACCAGAAAACTAACATTTTTTTAACTGAAAGTCATTCTGTTTCATTTCGGCAACTGCTTAATTATTATTTACGTACTTCCTGTGCATTTATGTACGGTACATAAATTTGCGGTCAGCAAGCAACAGGTAAGCTCGAGGTTACGTGAAGGGTGGCTTGATAATGATAAAGATACGTTTTATATTTGGTCTGTTATGTGTTTCGGTATTATGCATATGAAAAGAAAGCGTAACAACTAGCAACACTTCTCTATACCGCAAGAAATAAGAATCGTATCGTAATCAATTTGGTTTGAATTGATTTTGTTGGAACTCGGCGTTGCAGAGCGTGGAATGACAGGATGCTGAGTGCTGACATCATAACAGCATTGGCTTTGGATTGTTTCGTTCATTCGCTGGTGATGACCTTCCAAAGAAAAGAAACATAATTAATAAGTTACAAATCTCGTCAAAATGAAGATATGTCTCATCTAACGTTGACAGGCCCGAACACAACATTGAATATTAAATGACATGCTTTGATTATAATCGATGTAGCTTCCCAATACACATCGCTTAGATATGTCTAAGCGATGAGACTCCTACACCGTCAGAACAAGATCGACCGTTTGCTACACCAGCCAGCTCTGTTGGTACTCTGTTGCTGAGCGCGGCTCTGCCTTGATACTCGGGTGCTGGGACGGTTCCGCTGGTCCTCGGGTGCTGGGTGCGGCAGCCGCCACCTCCGCTGGGACTCCGGGTGCTGGTGCGGCGTCAGATACTGGGCGCGGCGGTCGGCACCTCCTGTGATACGGCGAAGGTGTCAGCTGCGCTGCCCTGGAAAGTGAGAGGTGCCAGGCGGCTGACACGGTTTTCACGGCTGGGCCGCGACGACCGACACCGCCAGACGGGGAGGGAGAAAGGGAGGGAGGTTTCTCCCAGGCCCTCCATACTCCGTGGGACGCCTGGTCAGGGCACCGGGACTTCTCGTCAAACGCCGGGAGGCTGGGGTGAAATAATGGGACCGTAACATGAGCTGCGATGAAAGCAAACACTCCGGTGTCGCACAGGCTCACCAGTTCAAGGGATAGTGTGAATGCAATTCAATCCTTTGACTACATCATTTATTACATAGCCATGCGTTTTCTCAGCTTGTGATCTAGCAAATATGAAATAAATGAATAGCAGAGGAGAGGTTGCCAGCATTACCAGCAGTTTCTTCAATACTGCAACGTACTCGCAATGAAGTACAGGGTACCTTTACTTTAGGGCGCATCGAAAATCGACATGCATAGCAGCGGACCTTCGCGTATAGCAGTTCCAATGCCGACCTTGTCACAGAACAGAACGTGAAGCTGTAGGTGATATCGCACGCATTATCCGCCACCAAACGACTAACAAATAAGCACATCGTTTGAGTGTTTGTCGAATGCTTCCACTATCCGTTGTCGATCGGCGTCAATGGTGGATGAGGCGGATGCCCACAAGGCTGCCACAGTGTGTATCTACGTTTATCGCTGGCACGAATTGCAGAGCGCAGGAGCCAAGGCCGCAGCTGACTTCATTATATAAACACGAATCGACGGTGGTGTACCGTCTATTATCTCACAGTTCTGTCCGTAGTCACCGCAAAAGTGTGCATCGCTTTGATTATGTGGAAAAGTTGTTTTTGGGTGAAATTTTCACTCGTGTTTTTGATCATTTTTGCCCAGGTAAGCTTCATGTTTTTTTCAATTTGCTTTATAATGAAAATCGTTTTTTGGATAAAGCAACATTATGTTATGTTTCTACAAGTACTTAGAGGTATGCTAAATCCAGCGAAAATTCGGAAAGTTTGTTAATTGAATAGCGCACAAAGGTCAACGAAACGGATGTGTAATCTAAACCTGTTTCCGGCGTGTATTGCCTTATTTGTCTGCCTGCACTTACTTCGGTCAACTTGATTTCCTGACTCCGTTAAATGAAACTAATCTCATAGAAAGTATTAACCCTCGCCGGACCTATTGGTTTTCTACATACGCGCCCGCCGAGGGGGGGGGGCGGCGGGTACGACCCCCCCTCGCCGTTTCGCCCCTGGTGGAGTTAGCGCGTCGCGGAATAAACGAGCGTGTGCGCCGTTACGAGACACAGAGAGTAGTACTCGATTTTAAGGCCCTAGGTCAACCGGTGACCTCTGAGGTCAGGTCAAGTGCCCCAAGGTACGGTTCAGGTTTTGATGAATAACTTCGCAAAAAACGGCCGCAGAGCTGCGATTTTGGCAGCATCGTGTTCGCCTCGCTCAGGCGCGTCGAATGATATACTTTTTGTCCAGGTCAGGTCAACTTGGGGTGTTGACCTCAGGTCAAGGTCAGGTCAGCACCCCCAGGTCACGAAGTTAGTCGAAAGAGGTCATGTCGCCTATCATTCGATTCGGCAGGTCTTCCCGAGTCCATTGGTGGCTTTCCCGACTCGCTAGCTTAATTTGATCAAGAGTTATTGACGAAAAACTAATATGACCTTGATGACGTCATAAATGACGTCACGCAAGGTCAACATTGCAAAAATGACGCATCTAATCTTGCAAGGAGTGCATCAAATCACGATTCTGTGTGCTTGAGATACTTGGAGATCGTTCCCGGCGCCAGAATAGCAGTTTTCATTTTTCCCCATTGACTTATAATGGTGAGGTCACGAAAATGACCTGACCTCATATGACCTTTAGGAAAAATCGGAGAAATACAAGTTGTGAGACTCATAATGGATACTAGATCCTGCAAGTTTCATTTCCCTGTGACATCTCCTCTGGCAGTGAGAGCGTTGCGAAGTTGCGACATCTGAAGACCGTGCAGAGGTTCACTTATGACGTCATAGGTCAGTGACCTGACCTGACTCAAAAATGCGGTTAGTGTTAAAAGATCCGGCTTGAATCAAAGGTCAGGTATGCTAAGTTTCAGCTCTCTATCGCCAGCGTGTTCGGAGCTATCGCGAAAAAACCCTATGGGGGGGCGGCACCCGCCCCCCCTCGGCCGGCGAGGGTTAACTAAAAAAGTAAAATAATGCGATTTCCTAAGCTCAAAGCAACACAAACAAGGCGAAATTGCTGAGGTGTCGAGATCTTGATATTTTTTCTCGTTTGGTTGCAGTCTTCTCTTTTGCAGGAATAAGGATACTATAAAAAGAAGTGCTTGAACCCAATAACAAAAGGCTTGCCAATCAGTTTTCTTTGCCTTAAACCGGACATTACAGAGAAGAGCGACAATAGGTTGAGATACCCATACAAACTTGCGAAAACAAACCATTCCTCCAGCCAGCAGCTATTCATCGTGAGTCCAATATTGGAACAGGCTCCAGCGCCTTGGTTGAGTGAATGCTCTCCTCTGCTGAGACGTGTTCCGAATAATGCCACCGTTCTCTTTGAACGCTTGATTTTCCTCGAAGGGACTTCTAAGAGACGGTACAATAGTCTGTACACGGTCGGTCTATTGACAGACCCCTGTCCTTTGGGAATTCAGACATGCTAAGATGTCACAGCACATCCTGCGTAAAGCGATAAATAAGGACACTAAGAACAGACAAATAAGACAGAGTCTCGGTAGCCGAATGAGCCGTGAACTGTGAACATCTAAACAGTGTGTTGTGAGATCATTGTGCACCTCGAACTGAGTGTTCGTAATTGTCCCATGCCTCTACATAGACATAGAGCAATTAAGTAATAAGTATGTAGATTCCATTTTTCATACATGTTCGGAAACAAACTACATCTTATGAAGGCCTCAGAAATAACGAATAAAGATAGGCATTTCCTAGTTTATTCGAATAGATCCCATGAATGAGGCTGAATGTCGACTAATATATATTTTCTGTTTAGACCGCTTCCAGTAAACACCATCACCATGGCAGCAAGAACAGCAAGCACCATGGAAGTAAACTTCAAAAAGCAATACTCAACACGGTAAGGAAGTGTGCGATTTTGCATTCACGCAAAATGCGTCACATCTGAAGGCACCAATTTATAAAATATGTTTATATTTGAATACGATGATTTTGATACCAAGCGCTCTGCAGAGTAAACTACTCCCTGTATGCGCGAGAACGTTAAGTTATTTATGAAACGTTCCAATAAAATGTTTCCAAATTAAGTTCTATATTGATATTGTATTTAAATTTATCTTTCGTAACGGCACCGTTTGTTGTATTGACTACAAAAAAAAAAAAAATCCACAAAAATGCTAGCGATTGCAATAAGACTGGTCGTATTTTGAGTTTCATTGTATCAGTTAAGTACTTATAAAATCACAAAACTGTCACAGTGTTTTCAGGCTATATTTGACCACCTTTTCTATAACTAAAATCCGCAAAAATGTCTACCAGCTGCTAATTGAAGACCCGGCGTGATGTCCCACAGGTGATGACGATCCTAGAGAACTATCTAGAGCACGTCTGGGACGAGGCAAAAGATGGCATCTACCACGTCGTTGATGCCCCTCTGGATAACCTCGGCGACGTGAAAGATCTGTTTGAAGCAATAAAGAACGTAAGTAGCAAAGCATCACCTCCATACCATATTTACCGAATTATGAATCAAACGCTGTATCACATATAAAACTTTGAGCAGTAAAATACGAGCTGGAAAATTTTCAGTTTGGTGGTAATGAGATAATGCTCAGAAACTCACTTGCATATATGAACGTCGGGTAATGATGATTACAGAGGAAAAACAAGAAAAAGCCAGGGAAGAAGCAGAAGCCTCTGTCCAAGTACGGTGCCGGTATCAAGGACGAAATCAAGTTCGGCCTTCACGAGATCATCGCCTCTCCGATGGACAACCTGCCGGCCCTCATTTACAACGACCGCGTCGATCCGACCGCGCACCCGGTACGTAACACCACTCATTCGATACGTAACAACACTCATTCAGTACGAAACAGTGCTCATTCGGTACGCAACGCCACTCATTTGGTACGTAACAGTACTCATTCAGTACGCAACGTCACTCATTCGGTACGTAACAGCGCCCATTCGGTACGGACAACCTGCCCTCCCTCATATACATACACCGTCCGTGTGGATCTGACTTTACACCCGGTAACTTACACTGTTATATGCACGTGGTATGCGATTGCCTTACCGTCTGTCATTAATGCCGCGACAAAGCTGTTCCTTTCTCCGTTTGTATTGCAGGGTACCTATTGTTCATTTTGTAGTATGACAATCCAAGCTTGCCTTGAAATTTAAAGTTGCACCATGTTGCACCTTCAAAAATATGCAAAACTTAGCTAAAAAAAAATGAAGGTTCACAATTGCTTCACGTTTGCAGGTATCATAGGGAGGACAGCAGGTCCATGATTAATTCTTCAGACGCTGGCGCATGTCCAGTTGTGTAGAGCTGTTGAACTGCAACCACCAGCCGGCTGCAGGGCCTGTTGTTGCCCGCTATACCCTGACGCTCGATCAGCCTTCCCTCACTGGCGCCCAAGCGAGCGCCCTCTGCAGACGGTGCTTAGGAACTGTTAGTTCGCTAGATGGCGCTGGTGTGAGGCTCTGAGCTCTCTTGTCTGGGTGTAGGAAGTCCGACGAATTGGTCCGTCTCTACTCTCTATCGTCAGGACAGGCAAAGGCAAACCTCGCTGAAGGTACTCCTTGGTATCATGATCCGATCCAGCTAGGTAGACTAATGAGTAATGATCACTGATGGGAATCATGACGAACCCTCTCGAGTCGCTGTGTGGACGCTGTAGGCAGCTTTTTTCTCCACCCTAAGCAATTTCACATTCATTAGGACTGCCCAAGGTCATGACTGGAATTGTAAACGATACCAAGAATGCAACGAGCAGTTACTGCTGCTATCCGACAGACCATTATCCCTGACCATGATCCGATCAAGATATGCCATTAAGTCGAAGACAGTCAAGCATAAGTTTCTCCAATTCTCATAACCTGAAGAACTAGAGAATGGATACGAGTAGATGACAGGATGCTGCACAGTGCACAGCGCACTGAATTCGATGCATGATGAGCTTACCTATCGAGTGACCCTTCAGCTCTACGGCCAGTGACTGTGGACACTGGGGTTGTTTGCATCATTGAGCCATGAATAAAAAGCTATTGGCGAGAATCAATATAGATCGTGTTTACATCGTTTAAACCATGTTCGTTATCAATTAAAAACGGAGTGGGCCCAAAGCCTGAAATCAGATAGAATATGATAAGATGGTAAGTAACGGCATATCCACTTTCCACTCCCACTTTCCTACTTTTTTAGAAAAGTCGTTAAGCCAACGATCCGTCCGTTTTCTCCCGTTGTTGCACTTTACGATGTTGAACGGTCGATGTGGGAACCCGGCCTAAGTAAATACAGAAATAGTGCAGTAGGTACAAGCGCAGGTGCAGAACTATAGGTATAGTCGTGGACTGTCCCTGTACGTCCCCCTGATCTCTCAAACGCGCAGATGACAGCTGGGATTTCAATGAATTTCCGGTACACGGCTATAGATAGACCTTGACGGCGTTAGTTCAGACTTCGGAGACCGCACACGTGCACACGTGCACATTTAGCTTGGAGACCGCAATCAAAGGCGCCATCGTCCTCGGCTTCTCATGTGACCCGCTTCCCTGACGAAATATGTGCCCTATCCAACCGTCATCGTCCCATCGTCAAAGTGTTCCTTCTGAGAACTGGGACGGACCCGTGCGCTGACGGATGTTTTTCTTTCGACAGCATTGGAAGATGCGCTCGGAAACTGGAGGGGCAGAGCCCTAGGCTGGAGCTGCATATCGCCTGCCTACCCCGAACGTGACCTCAGCTGCTCGTGACGTGGGAGGACGATGCCGTGGTGTGCTGACCCCGCTGCATAACTGCCTACCAGCCTACGCACCTAGTGCTTATCAGCCTGTTGATGAAACCGCCGTTTCATGCCTTACACTCACGGGTCTGCTATATTGATATGCAGCAGGCTCTGTCTTATCGACTGCCCGGCGGCATTACCAGACCAAATTCATTGTTGTCGGTACTTGCATAAATCATTTACATTTCTTCTCTGGCGGCGGCATTACCAGACCAAATTCATTGTTGTCGGTACTTGCATGAAAAATTTACATTTAAGTACTAAACATTGTACTTTTGTCTTTGCAGACTGATTTAGAAGACGACATTGGGCTCTTAGCTTGCTCATGCACACATATTGAAATCGAGGCTCGTCGAAGCGAGTATGTGTGCATGAGGCTCTTGCTCATGCACACATACTCGCATCAAACTGAAAAAAAATCGTTAAATGATACCTAATCATAGTTGAGGGAAATGTGCATCAATTATCATGCGTACCTTATGTAATTATCATGCGTACTTTATTGTTATTAAGTGTTCTTTTATTGTAGGTAGGTAGGTAATCTATAATTTCATGTCATGTGAATAAATGTTATTCATCGCTATGAATAAAACAAATATCGGGTCGAAACGAATTCCTTTGACGCCTGGTGATGAAAGAAGGATCAGAATAACGTTCTGTGCTGCACAACCTCGTGACATGAGGACTCCAAATGGAATGGCTCGTCTCCACCTTAATCGAACGGACGTCGGACAAGTTTCCTAGTCATTAATCTGTATGACAATGGAACGAGAAAGTGGGATGGGGCAGGAGGAATAAGGCGGTCGACGGTCGTCATCTGGTTACTTGTAACGGCCAGCGCAAAAAAAGTATTTTATCCGATAAACAGAATGTTTGTTTCAGACATGCAACAAGGTCTCATACTACGAATTTTGGTCTATGCTCTGTTAGCAGATAGAATAGGCTAACCATCAGCAGCAAATGGCAGAAGCGATTTCCTCACACCTTTCATTGCGAGTAACCAAAAGCTGCCTCCTGAACTTTCCCAGCTTAGCTTTTTAGCTTTTCAAATGAACGTATGACATGATGGTGATACCGTAAAACAAAGATAATATCGGCGCTCGGCGCTCATCCATTTTATCTCAGCCGTAAGCGATATACCTAACTTTAAAATTAATAACGTTTGTGAGGATTCCATTGTCACTCCTTCCCCATGGCAGCTAAAGTAATCGGTTAACTAGCTGGTAAAACAATATGGCATCGCAGCGTTGGTTGATCAATTCATGACCCTCGCCCACACTGCCGACGCTGCTGGTCGGTTGACGAGCATTCAGCAATCAGGCCTCGAGACATCGATAGCTATGTGGGAGCAGCTGGGACGTATACAGTGGACTACATTCAACGGATATCGGTATACATCTTATTGAGGCTACGAGTTTTATTTTATTTTATCTATTTTTGTCTGTCCGGTTTCCACTGGTGATTTATAATGAGCCTCAACAACGCTTGCAGATATTAATTTATGCTCATCAAGAGCCTCCCTCACACGTGTCCTAGCACGTGCCGCTCCGTTGATGAATTCGTATTATTTTTCAGGGTATCATTTATGGATAAGCGTTGTCTTTAATTCCTTTGGCGAGTACGTATTGTTTACAGTTTGTGTGAGTAGTTTAATTCACTCGTGAAGAGCTTGCCACTCCAATTTGTTCTGGATAGGCGAAGAGACAGGTCAAGTTGCTGGGTAGTTCCTTATGTGTCAGCTGATGAAGTGCAACTTTACCGGTGGCAATTTCTTAGCATCAGTTCACGGCACAGCACCTGACTGAGCTACCAGTGTACGCAGTTGTTGCCAGCGTGTTAGTGATTACCTGCTGATGACGTAGGTAATACACGGCAGCTGAGGTATATTCTTACCTGCGTAATCTGAAACTGATTATAACTAGCACAGTTCCTGGCTTTTGCAAGGACTGCAATGAAGCGCAAAATTGCAAGGTAACGTCAGTTAGTAGTGCTTTGGTCACTTGATAAACCCATTATAAGCACAGACTTCACAAAATGAGACCGCCTGATCCATATTGGTGGGGTGCGGTATGCCGATCAGAATCGTTAGGGGGCCTGGCATTGCATTATCTTATGTAACACACATATAAAGATAGACAGAGAGGAGAGCGAGAGAGAGAGAGAGAGAGAGAGAGAGAGAGAGAGAGAGAGAGAGAGAGAGAGAGAGAGAGAGAGAGAGAGAGAGAGAGAGAGAGAGAGAGAGAGAGTCTAATGCAGCGTTTCATGCATGAATTGATGATGGCTTCTGCTCACATCTCAAGCAGTGGAGAAACGTGATCTGGCAGTATCATCAAAACTTCACGACTGCAGCATATACCTACCTAGTCCTGACCAGTCAGATTCCCATTATTTGATGCATATATGTAGGAGCAGCCAGCCAGCCAGTTCATGATTTAGCTGGATTGATCTACGTGATGCAGAAGATCACTTGTCGATCAGCTGAGCGGTTGTCAAATTTTGAACCTCTCAAAGGCGTCATGGGGCCGCGCCGGAACGGGTCGCTCACACCGATTTTTTCTCGTTTAACCACAGACAAATTCGTTCGCTCGCTTGCTGCGCTCGTCCGACATGTCGGACGAATCGGCATGTCGAGCCGACGTAGAGGCTCGAGTCGACATGCCGATTGCCGAAAAGAAAGGTCACAGGCCTGACCCACTTGTTAGTGGCACTCTATTGACCATGGTCTTTTGATGCTCATCTGAATTATAGTTTCTAATAACATGTTACACCATATGTTTGTATTTTCAAAAATACATTCCAGTCACTATGCGTATATGACGCACAGCACGCATGCTCTCATATCTACCCAGGCCCATCTACACAGTTAGATACAAAGTGCTCATTTCATTTTATCTACATACGTGCTCATGTTGAGGATTATCAATAGACAGGTGTGACATATTATAGTGCATGTATGGCCTAAACTTTTGAATTCTTTTTAAAAGGGGAAAAAACGCAAGAAATTACCCAACGTTTCGCATTTATTGATTAGTCATGGGTCTTCGAGTGCGATTGTGGAGATCACAATCGCACTCGAAGACCCATGACTAAGCAATAAATGCGAAACGTTGGGTAATTTCTTGCGTTTTTTCCCCTTTTAAAAAGAATTCAAAAGTTTAGGCCATACATGCACTATAATATGTCATACGTGCTCATGTGCGCAGCTCTGCTGAATGCACGAACAGAGAGCGATAATAGGCCCTGGCGCTAATAAGGACATTTACTCACAGATTTACGAGCATACGGTGGTGCGCTCCAGTCCGACCTCGCTGGCTCTCTTAGTGGCGAAAAAGGTGGTGATTTTAGATGTTAACGGTATACCTACTCGAGCACCAACGCCGATCAAAATAAACATTGAATGTAGTTAAGCTCGCTCATAAGCAGATTTCCGCAAATCAGATGGTTTGTTAACCCGCGCCGGGCCGGGGGGGGGGGTGTTTGAACACCCCCCCCCCCCTGCGGTTTTTCGCAGAGCGCCACCGTTTTTGGCACACCTGTTCGTGCATTTTTTCCGCACATGTTGTGAAAATTTTAGACCCAGGTCGCCTTAGGTCAGGTCACTAGGTCACGCCAAGTGACTTCACCTCATAAAAAATAAGAATGCTTGTCATAGCTACACTGATTGATCGATTGCCTTGAAACTTTCAGCGATTGATAAGAGCAACATAATCTATAAAATGTTTATCTCAGAATTTTGATATCGGTGACCTAAGGTCAGGTCAATTTTGCGGCCTCTCCATTAGAAGTCAATGGGAGAAAATTGAAAAGCGTCCGTTTTGCATTAACGCCATTCTAGACACTCTCAAACATCGAGATGTAGGTAAAATTGACACACTGAACCGTAAAATGGCAACTGTGACCCCTCGTTATGTCCCCGAGGTCATCTCAGGTCACGAACAGAATCTAACAGTTTTTCGCTAATAACTTCTGATAGAGGCGTGCTAGAGCACTGAAAACGCCTTAGATGTGTTCGGCTTGACGTTGCGGATCGACTGATATGCAACATGACCTTTTCCGGTCAGGTCATGACCTTGACCTGAGGTCAAATTTTCAAGTTGACCTTTCAAGGTCAAATTATAGTTCATTCGACCCGTCTCGACGAGAGGAACACGATGCTGGCAAAAGTAATGTCATGGCTCTTTTGAGTCAAAATTTATTGCCGAAAAAACGCTTTTCGTAAAAACGGCTATTTTTTAGTTTTTGCCCTCTGGAGGCTAAACCGTTGACCTGAGGTCAAATCTGAGATCATTATTCAGAAAGGTCTGTAAAAGAGCTATCGAATGCGCTTTTCCGCGGCGCTGTAGCTCTATCGGTTCCCAAGATAGCCGTTGGCAGTTTCCAAAATGTTGAAATAGTCAACATTTTACCTTTGGTGACCTCTGGTGACCTGACCTTTGACCTGACCCAAAAAATGACCAGTGTTTTCCTCCTTATTTTGGACGTTCTTTCGATTGCCGCTTACCGCGTGTCGCTATGTTGCCCAGGAGCCGAGTTAGAAGGGGGGTGTTCGGACACCCCCCCCCCCCGGCCCGGCGCGGAATCTCAGAGCACCGGCCCGGCGCGGGCCCGTGCTCTGAGTATGAAACATTTCATAATATGAAAAGCCACAAATTTTGTCGGACCAATGCAATCTACAGATTACAACTTTGCATCAAAGCTGACCTTCAGTTCACCCAACAACGCTTCTGAGTTCTGACTAAAGGTCAGATAAGGTGCAACATGAACGAATAAGTTCAACAACTGAGAATGCATGTGCAATGTGCGTAGTGACAAAGACTATCTGCACATTCAGCAACGGTATTTAGGTATATATTGTTAAATTTGCCTTTCTGGTTGTTTGTATGCTGATCGACATTCATAATCTACAAGGTTTAGTTAGTGTCCGCGTGTTAGGTATACTGTCACTTGTCAGACTGGGTAAGTACAGCCCACCGCTAAAGAATGTGCGGTTTTACCAATCTCAACGGATGACTTTGACTGGCGATTTTTTAATGCGAAGTTATCGAAAAGAAGACGCCAATAGATAAAGTTGCAGCTGCAAAGGTGACGATACATGTAAGCTAAATTCAAAGTTCCATCGTAGTCTGGCTAATGGTTCCTAAGC